GAAATTAAAGAGACATGTTTGGATTAAAACGCAAACTTCAGAACAACATGTCACCCCTAGTATGGATCTACCTTGTCACTTGTTAAAACAGTCCCATTTTTTCCTCATAATACTACATGACAATAGCCGAGTTACCAACGGTGCCAACGCTCCCAAGCCAAGTGCACTTATAGTAAATGTCACAGTGTATCGCATTAAAGTTCTCGGACTGACAATTGAAACACACAATGAAGTAATGGATTTTTACCCCGATGAAGAACAAAAACTGTCGATACATCAAGACTTGTACTACATTGTTTTGACTATTGAATCAGTATCCAAATACGCACGGTGATCAATGCGGTCTCCTGGTACCAAAGTCGCTACATCGACGAGTACTTACAGCCCCTCCCGTGCCAGTTGATTGGGCACTTACGGCTGAATTGCTTAACAAATATACAAAGACGTAAGGCAGTCTGTCCGATTCTCACTTTATGATCACAAAATTCATATAATGTTGTTCCGAACAAATACGATGTCTCCGTATGTTAATCGCTTATAAACTTAAATGAAATCGACACATTATTTTGTTAATGACAGAGAATCAAAATCTTACAATCAATTTTCTTTTCTTTACCCATACCTTATTGTTTCACATGTTCACAGTACACGCTTGCTGCTGTGAAATTTATTTTATTTTATTAAATTTTCTTTATTTTTAAATTACGTTTAACTTATCACTATATTGACCGACTCTCTTGGTGGATCTCTCCCTCTATCGCTCTCTCTCCAAAATTATTGTTTTTTATTTTCTTATTATCGTTACCAAGCATCGATGTCAGTAGCCACCCTTTCAGACTACAAAACACAACTGAAGTTCTGATTTTACCAAGAATCATATCAATGGATTATCTAAAAGTAAATACTGGTAAGTTGATCAATCCTCACTTCGATTTGTACTCCTGATTAAGAACACTGATTCAAATAAAAAAAATTATGCTCCAGGATAAATAGAAACGTAAGCATGTTCGGTACGTACCTTTCATTACGATTATAACTCCGAGGTACATGAAGTTTCATGCATTTTCGCCTGCTCTCCTCAGTAAGGCGGGGTGAACTGTGAAATAGGACGCGACTTTGTCGCGATGAGAAAAGAAATGCCACTTAATTCGTCTTTTCAAAAACCGGCATTAAGCAAAAGCCCTTTTTAACTATTTCACCATGTCACCGGGGTCTGTCAAAGCTTTACTTGATTGCTTACTTTGGGTCCGTGCCTTCCCTGTTTGCATGATTTCATATTAGGCCGCTCAAATAAACCTAAGTGTGTACACTGTGTCGATCATTGCTTCAACACAAACATATGATCATAATGGGCCATTTCATCCTCCATTTGTGTAATCCATCGAAGAATGGAAGTGTATATTTGTTTAATTGCCGGAGTTTCTACTAATGGATCGTGGACCACCATTGCATGGGTTCATAATGGCAGGGCACTTGATAGAATACAATGTTCCGCGAGGTAGACACGTTTGGCGGCCTGAGGGAGAAATAAAATTGTTAAGAATTATGAAAGCCATTAAATATTTTCATACCCTAAATTAGCCATAGCATTATTTTTCTAAAGGTGTACTGGTTATTAACAGTTGATCTTTCCCACTTGGGCACACAAACGGCATGTTTCACAACTATTATTGGCTTGAAATGAATGCCCCTTTTGTCCTGCCACCCGCTTTCTCTTCTTTGGTATTGACTAATTGAAAGTCTGTTTAAATAATTGTTATATAATTCCAACCGAAGTTGAATATTTCGTCTTTGACTTCGCGTAGGCCTATAATAGTTTCAGGAACTTTTTAATTGCCATTTATATTTTACTCCGGTGGCAAAAATAAAATAATGCTTTGGCTCCGTTCACATGGAAAAGCTATTTTCTAAAAATCTAAAAATCTATTTTCGGTATCTTGTGATCACGGTCTGTGCCCTGAATACCCCGCGGCGTAACGCTGGCCGCCCCTCCAGCTTATGTATTTTTTTCCTGATGATTCTTTTTCTTTTTCTTCCGCTATGGTTATTCCAATTCTTTCACCTTGTCTCCGGTCGTCGGGTGACCAGATTTTTTCCTTAATATTGAATTGGTGTAGCCCTTTTCTGGGCCAGTATTTTCTCCGGCCGTCGGGAGACCGAAGCCGCAAAGTTTTTCGTGCACGATCTGTATCATTATTTATATAAGTCAAGGGTAGTATTTTTGCCTGGTTTGCTTAGTATTATGTTTTTCAGCTTAAGTTCTTTAAATAGGAGGTTATTTTCAAACCTGCTGATTGTTTTTATGCCCAGAAAGAATAGTCTGCTTGATATATATACAATGTTGACCAGCTCGTGCAGAGTTGTAATTCGGGTACTCATTGGAAGTTTGAGTGCCATGCGTAGCGCTCTATTTTGAATTTTTTGTAGATCGTTAAGCCTAATTAGGAAAGGAGGGGCATAAAAAGACAAAGCTCGTGCCTGATAAAAGGAGTAGAGGCGACGCAACTTTTGTGAAAAATCAAAAGTTTTCTCTCTGATAATCCCACAAAAAATGCAGTACATACGTAGTTAGCTTTAGCTCAGTTTAAGGCTCTGTTTTCACAACTTTTAGATCGATCTATCACCGCGGGGAGTCTCACTAGATTACTGTCAGATAATCCCCCTTAAGTGTCCGTCCCCGCCTACTACAAGCTTTAAGGGGTAATTAACTTTCGTGTCCGCCCGGCTGACAGCTATTTAGCGTGAACCCCCAGGGAGTTAGGTCGATCCAATGTAGGTCGATCTAATCTATGAGAANCAGTCTTGAGAAGCAAAGGCCCAAGATAGGAAAGGAGGGGCATAAAAAGACAAAGCTTGTGCCTGATAAAAGGAGTAGAGGCGACGCAACTTTTGTAAAATGTCAAAAGTTTTCTCTCTGATAATTCCACCAAAAAGATAGCACATTTTGATGAAATGCAGAACAAGCTGAGCTTTAGCTCAGTTTAAGTTCAAGATCGTGGCACCAATATAAGGACTTTCAACTGAAGAGAAGGGAAATATAATTGTCGAAGCAGATGTAAACTTTCTGAAGTATACCGTATTTTTATGCAAAAGGTAATTTGCTAAGTCCCACGAGAGCCCTCACTCGTTCTCGTCTCGTGGCATCCCGATTCAGGGTCCAGGTCGTTGTTGTGACGTGCCTCATCCGGGACTCGAACCCGTGACTTTGCGTTACCAAGGTTGATGACGCTTTGGCTGTCTCATTTGCATCCATGCACGCTACCGACTGCTCCGTGACTGACCCGCCCACCCTCCGTACGTGCGAGTTTCCTCTTATAGTAATCAATCGCAATTTTGAAAAATTAATTCTGGCAAAAAAGGACACAGCAGATAGCGGGACTCGAACCAGCGTCCGAATTCCTGCCTGTCTGCAAGACAGCAGAGTTACCACGCAGCCACGACAGCTTCGTCGACAAGAGACGATCAGATGGAAACTTTCAACCTTGTCACGGAGAGCGCCAGATTGGATGTACATGTGTAGATCTGCTATCCCAATCGATAATCCGGGTGCCGCATTTCATCCCACGAAACCCCAGTCCCAGACATGAACGGTATTTTAGTGCATGATGCACAGGAAGTCGTGTTTGAGAACCCGACACGGAGCTCGGAGTTTGTTTTATACTAAGATTTAGTTTGGATTTACCCATGATATTAAAGAGTCCACAGGGATCAGATGCGGTTCACAACAGGCGTGTTTTACTTTTAGCGAGAACCTAAGAGGAGAGAATAAAAAAAAAAAAAAATCCCAGTGTTTAATTACTGGTGCGATTGCAGTGATGGTAATTTTGAGTAAAACATATTTGGCACATAATTCTGCCGAGGAGACATCGTTTTTCTACCGAACACGGTTAACAGGTCAGGCCCGTAGCCAGGGGGGGTTCGGGGGGATCGAAAGAACTGCCCCTTTTGCTGGGAAAAGGTCCACTCTGGGTAAAATTTGAGCTAGGTACATGAAGTTTTTTTATGGGAAAAGGTCCACTTTTTCAGAAAAAGAACCCCCCTTTTGAAATTTCTGGCTACGGGCCTGCAGGTGGTATGACCTGCTGTTATACGGGAAAAGCTACTGAATCAAAACAAGTTGGATCGCTTTCCTTGATAGGCCTGTTCTGAACGTTCCTAGTTAGATGACTTCAGATGCTTTAATTTTCATTTTGTTTTGCACTGAGATAACGTTTGGTTTCACCTTTGACGTTACAGAGCACGGTGAGATGCACAGCTGTTCAAACCTCGGCGGTTTTAGTATTGAGTAGTCTTTACTCTTTCAAATGTCGACTGCGGACTTGCCCCGGGTACTGCATGAACATATGAACAGTCTTATGTAAAAAAACAAAAGTTTTCTCTCTGATAATCTCATGGCATCCCGATTCAGGGTCCAGGTCGTTGTCGTGACGTTCCTCATCCGGGACTCGAACCCGTGACTTTAGTAAAGACCGCCCCTTTCTTTTCTACCCCAGTGCGTTATATCATGATGGGGACATCAGAATACTTCCCTTCCTTAGTGCAGTCACATTGTTGGTTAAATTAATTTAAAAAAAAAACATGGATGTCATGAATTGGGACTTAATTAACAGCAAGTGTTTAATGAAAATTCTTTTGATAAGAGTTGTGTGAAAGACCGCACCATACCCATTTTGTATTTATTGTGAGAATAGTGAGCCATTCTAACAATCAGACATGAAACAAATACTATATCAAATGAAACACACATTATTTCATTATCCAACACTGCATAACATACATTTTCTTGTGCCTCAATAGATTCCTTCAAGCCCCTTTGCACTGAATAGAAAGGTGACCATGAATCTGGCCAGGTGGCGGAGGCTCAAGGGATCGATAAGATCAAATCATTTATTTTATAATGAGCATTAGTAGTTTCAGTAATACAAGAACTAATTTAAAAATGCCTTTTACAGTGCAATACATCTGAAAGAAAGAAAGAAAAAAACAATACTTGTATCTAATAACATTTAATTGAGATCTTTGGGTCAAATTTTCCATATCACAACACATTTTCAAGAACTCAAATACATACGATTTCATTTCTGTAAAAGAACAGACAATAAAGAAAGATTTTCTTGCTTTGAGATTAAATATACATCTATCAGTGTTAAAACTCAGATTATATCATTCATGCAGTAACACAGTTCTTATAAACATAACTTATAACATGAAGTATAGATCATTTTTAAATATTATGATTAAAATTGGTAGTGGTAATTGTCAAATAAACAAGGGAAACTGGTTGTTAAGGTATGTAAATATGGATAACTCCGTCCAAAGGATTCCTCTGAAAAGCAATAGACAAACTAAAAGCATGCTTTTAAATGCCCCAAATCATTAAAACAACAAAATGCACCAGACATTCTAAAACAATGTCAGTCCCTAACAAATTCTGTTTCAACATATACATAAAGTGTATATGTCAGTAAGCACTGACTAGATTATGTAAGCATGATTTGAGTATAAATATTTAAAAGTCATGCAGTTTCACTGCTGCATTATATATATAATATTATATAAATAAATCAATGGCATCATCATAGTTTAACCAACAATTGAAGTTTCATAAAATCAACACATTGTTGTATCACGTAAAATTTGTACATTAAACAATGTCCCCACAATGCTTATAGCACATTCTGATTACACAGTGCTTACAAATTGCACAGCTTTAAATAGGTCTATAAAGTTTTTCAACTTTTAGACAAATTTCACAGAAGTGGTCATTGACCATTTAACAATTTTCTTGAGCAGTTACTAAAATGCTTTTGGTATTGTGTCTAAAATGCATTTATCCCCAAAACAAGATCTCCTCTTTTGCATTGAGTCAAATCAATACAAAGCAAATATATATTTGTCCAAAATTGTACAAAATGTTTAAAAAAATTCTCAAAAGCTCTGAAACTTGGGTAAAAAAAAGGTGTGTATAAATGTCTTGAAAGGAAGCTGGTGAATTAATGACTGGACAGACTATCTGGAGCACATTTTGGTAAACAAGGAAGATACGTATCAATAAACCTTTTTTTATCATACTTGTATAATGCAATCATATGTGCTAAAAAAAATGCTAGGGATAACCAAGATTTTTTTTGGCCTGAATACAGCTGTTATACTCATACCCTGTGTCAGACACTAACTGCACTGCAACAGTTATTAAAATGTATAAAAAGGAACAAAACAGTTCTATAGCTAATGTATAAAAGATATGTGTATAAATTATTTGAAGCTGGTTACTTTGAATGACTTGACAATATAATTAACTCTGATCACATGTCGCCAAGGATGACAAAATGAGTAAAAGCTAAGAATAATCAAGATATTTTGGTCTGAAATAGACAAACTTAGTGAGCCTGGACACAATAGTGGGTATCTGCTTCATCCCGCTGTTGTACTCGTACCCTGTGTCGGAGGCAAACTCCTCAGCAACGACCTTGTTTACCAAGGTCATCATCTGCAGCAGCTCCATCTCTTGGTGGAACTCCTTCAACACTTGCACCAGACCCTGCACAAACCAGGAGCCATCTACAGAGTTCCTCCATGAGTAGTAACCTGGAAAGATAAAAAAATTCTTGGAATATTTCTTTTATATATCAGACATCAGTTTGCCTCAATGAGCCACCACTCCCAGAGCATTACAAAGTTATCAGAATACTTGGCATCAGAATACTTAATTATTGAATAGCAAAATAAATAAATGAATAAATAAGATTAATGGAAATTTGGGCAGCTGTTTAACACCAGTGTTCCACTATCTATAGATGTCACCTGATGTGTATAGCACAACTTAATTCAGACTAATAGACTAGTAACTCTCTGAGGTCCATTAATGCAAGAGACCAGTGGGCTAAACAGTCTGGGTATGTTCCTCTTCTGCTCTTACCAGGTGCCACAGAATATGCCACCATGTAGTCTGCCTCTGTAGGAATACGCCGGACTTTGGGCTCAGTGGCACTATCTGTCTCATCCAGTGGGATATCAACACCCTCATCATTCTTCTTTCCTCGACAGGCCTATAACAAGGTACAGAGAAATCAGTCCAAATAAAGGTTAATATAAAATCAATTATTTGTAAGATATGGCGGAAATCAGTGCCTGTCAGTTTTGAGTCTATGAGCACATTCTCAGAGATTTAGATCGATCCAACTAGATCGACCTAACTCCCTGAGGGTTCACACTACAATTGCTGTCATATGACCGCGCATGGAAGTTAATTACCCCCTTACAGCTTTTAGTAGGCGGGACAGACATTTAAGTCGGCTAAGCTGACAGTAATCTAGTGAGACTCCCCACGGGGATAGATCGATCTAAAATATGTGGAAATGGGGTCTATGTCATTGAAATGAGTGCCACCTGTTTTTGTGTAATTCTTTAAATAGGAAAAAATATGAAACTGCCCACCTGTATAAAGAACAGCTTAGGCTTCCCAGCCAGTGATAAACACTTGTCTCCCTTGAAAAAACTTAGCAGTAAATCTATGGATATTAGGCCATTGGTCCCATATATCCGTCCCTCTATACCATGGCTTAGGAATGCACAGGCAAAACAGTCAGCATCAGAGTGGTCCTCCTGGGCAGCTACAATGAAATTGACAAAATTAAAACAGTAATCATGTTGCCACAATACAAAACAATACAATGCAGTGTCTTATCTTAGACTGTATTGGATTAGGAAAGACACTGTATTGTGTTGTGTCAGTACAATTCAATGTCACACCTAACACAATGCCCCCATTACATCAAATGTAACAAGATATACTGCTCAAGAGCTCCATATACATCTCGCCCAGTCATTTCCTTGTCCATTTCACCCAGCCATTTCTTTGTCCATCTCGCCCAGTCATTTCCTTGTCCATCTCGCCCAGCCATTTTTTTGTCCATCTCACCCAGCCATTTCCCTGTCCATCTCACCCAGCCATTTCCCTGTCCATCTCACCCAGCCATTTCCCTGTCCATCTCACCCAGTCATTCCCCTGTCCATCTCACCCAGCCATTTCCCTGTCCATCTCACCCAGCCATTTCCCTGTCCATCTCACCCAGTCATTCCCCTGTCCATCTCACCCAGTCAATCTCTATATGGGTCCCAGCAATCCCTTAGTTTTGATTTCAGCCCTACAATACTATTCACTTAAAATTTAACTCAGCATCAGTAGTGAAGACAAATAAACACACATTCAATGCAATTCCAAGTCACACATAACACAATTCTTCCCTCCATTTCTCTTCTGCATAAAAGTATACGCTGAAATAAAGTCAACCAATAGCAAGGACACTATATCCCTATGAAAGTCTACAAAGTCACCCTATGTGTAGTGCTATCATGGCATCAAGTGTATATTCCTTTATTTTAACAAGTGATCAATCCATGATGTCAAAGTGTTATTTGATTATTTTTTTAATATCATTTAACATTACTGCTCTTCATTTATTTTTTTGTTTGTTTTGGGGTGAGGGGTTTAATTCAAACATGCTGATGAATTAAATGCTGAATGAACAGTAAGCCTTTTCATTACACATAAATATGTATAATTAAGTTGGCAGCTGATTTTCCTCATGCTTGATCATTTATTATTTATTTCTAGATCATTAACCGCATCTCAAAATGATTTAATTTCAATCCACTAAAAGATGAAATCAAACCTGAACGCTCAATGCATGTTTATCAGCTACAGCCCAGTAATACTGAGGCAATGTGCAGATAAACTGACACAGTATTTCATTTTTTTCAACAGGCAACAGTTCTATCTTATAGATAAACATTACTCTGATGTCAAACAGGATCACAGTTTATCTCAACAAATTTCCTGTGTGGTTGTTCACCCAATATGGTGGTCTTGGCAACCATTACCAAACCAACACAGGCATCTGGATTGTTGGTGTTATAAAAAACACATTTGAGTGCTTGGTAACAGAACTTATCGGGTGACTTATGGGCTATGTTACATAATTTTTGGAAGCAGACTATATATCACATTATGCTTAAAAGCCAGACTATGACTAATCTTTCAGGGATGTCTGACATAAATTAAACCCTTTGGAAAGAACTTTCAAAATCAAATCTGTGATAAATTAAATACCTTTTAAAAGAGCTTTCTTACTAAATCCTTACCTTTAGGTTGAAATATAAAAATATAAAAGATAATATCTCAAAGGCAGAGCCAATAAGTTTGATTTTTACTGGTTTTATTAGTTCTTATGAGTGGTTTTTGTTTTTGTTGTTGTTGTTAGTTCTATTTACACATTATCAATGAATTTCGGAAATAAATGTAATTGTACCCAAGAAACAATTAGTGCCTTATCTAAAGGATAAACAACTTCCATGGCAATACTTTCAATTAGACAAAAAAAAAAGAAAAAAAAAAAGAAAGATGAAAAACTTAATTTACTGCACTACATGGTGATCAAAATCAAAATCATCAAAATCTCTCTTGCAATGGACAGACCTCCCCCTCCCCCCCCAGTCAGCACTAAAAACCTTCATGCACTGCCAAAAACACTATCTAAAAACTGCAAAAAACTTTGCATTTGTGTCTTCTGTGCATACCGTGTACCTTAGGTGAACACCCACACAGACTACAGTAATTTACTCAGTCTTATCAAGTTAGTGCATGCACCAACAGATTAAATCAGAATTGATTTTGGCCTTAATTTCCTCGCAGTATATGTCTTATCCAAAATCCAGACATATTATGTATCAATGGGAGCCAAGGGGCCATTTTGCATCCTGTCATGCACATATTTTCCAGGGTCTGCTAACAATTTTCATCCAATGACATAAGAAGTAAATTATTGTAAATTCAATGAACTTAGTATTGATTGATATTTTTTATAAAAAGCAGGCAGGAGATTTATAGGAAATTAAACAGGGGTAAGAGTATTAATGAGTGAGATGCTGAAATTCATCACTAGAGTTCATAGACAATTCATAAATGCACATTTAACTGACCTTGCTTTGGTGGAAAATTCCAGGAAATTAGCTCCTGCTTATACCTGTTAAAAATACCCCCCCCCCCAAAAAAAAAAGACCACTTTAGACTGACCTAGCTTAGGTGAAAAATTTGAGGAAATTATTTCCTGCTTATACCTGTGAAAAACATCCCCCCCCCCCCACACACACACACACAAAACTCTTCCAGTTTGCACAGATTTACAAGTAGCACTGTGCACAGTAATATAAGTGTCAGTGCATTTGCACTTCCTAGGCAAATCTAGTTCAACTGCATAACCCCTACAAGACTTACACCTCAAATATATTCTCAAAACCTGGTCTGAGGTCCAGGGGGCTTCTCACTGACCCTGCCCTATAGATACTAGTAGAAAAAGTTTGTCATATGGGACCTGTTCCACATAATAACTGTTATAAGCAGAAAATTGATCTTAGAAAAAATGTTGTTGGATATTAGCTAGGCTGCATTTCAAGAAAGATATAGAAGGTTATTAACCTCATTTTTTGGTCTCAGGACTAAGCCCCAAGAGCAAACTGTGAATGTGAGTGATACTTAAAGTTGAGACATTAGTATATTTAGGTATGTAAAAACATTCACTGTAGACCAATCATTTGAAAAAATAATTTTTAATATCACAAAGTCAACTTCACATATAATCAGCTATGTGATCTAAGCCCAAAAACTTGAGACTTTTTATGGGGACACATTTAAATTTTCAGCCATTCTCAGTACATGCAGCTCTATGCCATGTGTCCAGACAAATACATGGTCATGACTCTTTTCTTTTAGACAGAAGCTATTGAATTATGATATGTCCACCATTGACATGCACTAAATCTAATCTTCCTGTTGCCTACTCACTTGAGCTGGGTCTTTAAGCTGAGCTGGTTTGAACCAATTGGAAACCCGCCTAATGGCATGAGCCAAGTGAGGTGAATTGCCTTTTTACCCCAGACACTAATGCCATATGATAATGCATAGTACAATGGACAGGCTGAGCACCTTAATTGGATGTGATTTAAACCAACTTTGAGTCTGCTAGCACAATAATCATTGTGGATTTAATGGAGTGTGACTGGTTAATGAAGATAAGCAAAATATCAATAAAACATGCTTAATGAAAAGAGGCGATGTACTTCAGAGAGTCTGGATGGTGTAAAGCATATGCACAGTGGTCATCAATGCATATATACAGACATTGTGAGGACAACTTACTGTGTCTTTATTTTCTGGTCATGAGCACATTGCTGCTACTATCTGTCAACCCCATACTTGCCTGTCCCCAGAACTGTCAAACAGGTGGTTGTTTTTGTTAAAAGTTCCTGGAAAGCTTAATTTGTTTGGTATAAATGCCAGTCCTAATGTGAACCCAGAATACTTGTAGTAGTTTTTTATAACAAATAATGTAATTTATTGTGCACATTTCTGTAATGTTTGCTTGTTATGGCAAAATCATATTTCTATTTAACTTTCATCTCACTGGAAGATTTTGTATGGTTCATATGCTGATTAAGTTCCAAATTAAGTATTAACAGACTTTCAAGTTTGCATTGTTTCACTAAGATTTGTCTTTAAATTTCAAAGCGCTTGCAGACATGTAATACTTGTAATGCTTGCACCATAATAGACAACCCATGTATCTGTTTTAGTTCTAATTTGCAGGAAAGAAGATACAGGCAAAATGCACACAGAAAAAAAGTATAAAAAAAGTATGACTACCAAGTACCACCAGGTTTTGATTCACTCTTGATTCCAAGTGAATCACTGAAAAAAATGTAGATGGTAAATGTTCTGGAACTGATGCAGTAATACATCATACAAACCACAGTCTCATTACACAATAATTAATATTGAGTAATTGGCAATCGATACTTTTTTCATTTCAGTAAGTCCATTGTTATGTTGAAAAAGTGAGTCAAGAAAAAATAACCATCCCTTATCAATCATTTCTGATACAAATTACTTTTATTAAAACTTACAAAAAAAGTAGACTGAAGAACCCTTTCCTGTTGTAAAACAAGTATAAAATAATTGCCTGAAACTGACTAAAAGATTATTCTTATTTAAAGAACCATTACATGAAACTGGAAAGAATGTCAGAACTTGAAACCAGGATCCTTTGCCTAAAACCAGATGGGACTTAGTCTCTAAATTATCAGGCCTTTATCACACAAATTTATCTACTTCAACTTTCACCTCCTTTCAATCCACAATGCCACAAATTCTATTCTAGCATTTTGAGGCCAAGATTTCATGTAAGGGGTACATATGACAAAGTTAGCAGGTACTAAAAACTGCATTAACTTTAAGTCATTGAGTTGCAGAGCTTATCTAAATATGATCTTTTTCATGTTAGCTTTTTGTATAAAATACCTACTAAAATTATGAAATTTATTATTTCAAAATATAATTTGGCAAACTTTGAAAGCACTGACTGGGTAGTTAAAAATGAAACAGCTCAAATATTTCATTCCATGCTCACTGAAAATTTCATCAATTTATCAATATAGATAGATCACCAATACTTTGTGTTTGCCTATAAAGATGTCACCCTCACACCCACTGAAAAGTCTTGTGGCTATGGAGGCAAGCAGTTGATAATGGGCAATATCTACTAAAACTGGACAAAGAACAGCATACTGGTGATACTGGAGCACAATAGTTGGCAAAATCTGAGGCTTAACATATGGATCGATGACCAGCCACTTGCAAGCATAACTTCAAGCTCTTTCAGGCTGTTATCTCACCCCCCCTCCCCCCCCCCCAAAAAAAAATCCCCCCTCTGGTGGTGTGATTGACAATTTTCCCTAGAGCAAGTTTCACAAAAGATCTAAGGGCTCATTCCCATGAAACTATCAAGTCTGTACATATAAAGCATGACTACTAAGTACCACTCTTTGATTCACTCTTGATTCCAAGTGAACCACTGAAAAAAATGTGGAAAACTAAACCTGAATCTGTAAACCTCCTACTACCATTACCCCCAACTACTCAGAGTATTCCCTTTCTTCCAATTTTTCCCATGATTTTTTCCCATGATATCTTTCTTTCTCCCTCTGTTTTCAACCTTATTCCCAAAATGAATCCCTTTTCCCCAATGATGTCAGCATACATGTACCTTGCCTCATTACGGACATCATCTCCATAGTGCTTAGATTGTCATAACGAGTGACTTCAAATCCCAGATCCATGAAAAGGTTTGCCAGTGCTCCTGCATCTACATCAGTCCCTATCCTTTCACCTTGTTCCGTTTTCTCCTCAAAGTTACGGTTGTTGACGATGATGGCCATTCCTCTTCTCACATGTTTGAAGTTGTACTCCAAGTTGCCTTCTAGAGCCCTTCTAGTTGGTTCTGAAACTTCTACTTTGGGCTCTCCTGCAGGTACTCTGTAGTAAAAATTATGCATTTTAAGGAAACACATAAAAAATGGAGTACAATAATATGTATAACAAAAAGATTCTGTACAAAAAAAAAAGGAAAAAGGAAAGAAGGTGACAGGAAGAAATAAAAAACTTGGGATCAAGGAGATTCAGGTTGTTTTTTTTTTTTAAATCTTAGTTCAAACACATAAAATCTTTATTGAGACAGCTATAAAAACGGGTTAAAAACAAGGCAGCAAAGCTGTCAAATGTACAGACAAAAAACAGAAAATAAAGATGCAAAAAAAAGGTCATTTTGTCAATTTTGATGCAATAATAAATAATGCTTATAATAGCACTGTCAGTTAACACTGAATTTTAATCATGCACAACAGGTAACATGGTCAATAACAGGAGCAGATCCAGAGATATTTTCTGACAGTATTCCAAAGTATCTATGTTGATCCATCCTCCATTTTGATGGTCTTCCAACAGAAAAAAAATAGATAGCAGTCAATATAAACTTAATAACCTGTCTTCCGGAAGACCCAGAAGATGGTCTCAATCCACCCCTTCAATAAGATTACAGTTTCAGGACCATGAGAGACCAAAGTCACATGATGAAAGTCTCAATATTTGAAAAATGATGACAGTGAATAAAATAATATTATATAATGTTTAAAGACATAAAAAACAATACAATTGCTTATGTGGAAATACAGAAAATGTGCAGAGCCTAGAGCGGATGAGAGATAAAAGTCACAAATGCAAGTGTTTGAGAAAAAATTGTAAAGGAAAACATAACAAAACTAGAAAACCACGGAGAGTGCAGACCTCTGCCAAGGCAGCAATTGTTGATTATTATTGATTATTTATTGAGCCAGACCACCACTAAAAACTAATCATTGTCCTCTTTGGTCCAATTCTGACAGTTCCTGAAAATTTCAGCAAAATTGGTCCATAACTTTTTGAGTTATGTTCATGACAGACAAACAGGGGTGAAAATATAACCTCCTAGGCAGAGCCTGAGGTAAATATAATTTCAATGAAGCTGCTATTCAAACTTTTAATCTTTGATTATATATATTATCAATTAATGCAGGTTAATATATATAATAATTATGCAGGTTATATATATATAT